TTGAAAAAACACCTGATATAACATCTTGTTGATCTGTGATAATGCCAACTTATCACGCATCTCGATCTCATGTACTGTCAACAGATTCATCGATAATATCGATGCATCCGCACCGAACATTTGATAAACAAATGACATCTAAAATTAACATTCATAATATACAATAATAACAATAATAAAACAACAACAATAACAATCATAAAAATAAACCTTTGATAACTGAATCTCCACATGCACCGAATGATCCCTATTCACTCCGCCCGTCGCGTCTGCTTCCAGTCGCTGTCCTGGTCCATATCCGTATCGAAACTCCTCACAACTATAGGTTTTAGGTGCCCTCTTCTTGTCACCTGAACTCACTCACCATACAAACAATCAACAACAACACTACAAACAATCACCACCACAAACCATAAAACCCACCAAAATCATTCCCTCCATACAAATGCACCAGCAACGACACATCCCTCACGATATATCTAATTAAAGGTGTAGCAAAATCGCTCGGCAATCTCAAAATGTCGTCGTTGTAGTGCTCATTCGGAATCTCGAACCAGTTATCTATCAACTTCACATCATCACTCAGCAATCGTATCCGTGGCTCACCACCGACATTCTGCAATCAATCAATCAATCAAAATCAACTGAACATTTCTATCAGACTCCCTAAAATTATTATTATTATCACTATTACTGTTACTATTATTACTATTATTGTTACTATTATTATTCCCGAAAATATTATTCACCCATCTACTCCATCTATAAATTAAAACTTTTTGCACCCTCCCTTTTCAATCAATCAAATCAATAACAAAACAATAATAACAACAATAAATAAAAACAAAAAACATCACCCACCGTAATCCCACTCCCCGGAATTTCGTCCACAACGCAGAACCCTTCATCCGTTCCCGATGATACACTCCTCTGTCGATCGTTATCAAATACTGTCGAATCATCAAAGTCTACACAAACCAAATTACTATCGTACTCAATAATACAATTAAATTCAATACCAATCCAATTAAAATAATAATAATAACAATAATAATAAAAACAACAATAAAACAATAACAAAAAGCCACTACCATTCAACGCGTCATTAATTAAACTCTTTTTACACGAGTCCAACGACCCCAACTGCTCCACCACCGCATCACCTCCGAACTCGACTCCTTCCCCATCCTTTCCTCTACCGCTACTTATCGAGGGTGTACCTCGCATCGGTGACGACGTTATAGCTGACTGCACCATGTCCTTTAATACAATAACAATATTAATAATAATAATAAAATAACAACAATAATAATAATAACAATAATAATAATAATAATACTACTATAAATAAGACTAATAACCACCTGCAATACCCT